TATATAACATGAGTTATGACAAATTTCCGATCAAGCTAATAACTGTCGGCCAGGTTTTAAATATTTACATTCAATTGACGAGCTATCTAGCTGTTTGAGAGTTCATGCTGATCACTTCCCTGTTGATCAATCACGTTACTTAATTTTTGGTAAGCAGTCCCTAAGATCCGTGCAAATGAAATGTTCTTGGTTCCTTGCATATTGTTTTGGAATTTTCTGCATGTCTGCATGGTAGCATAAACTTGTGATGTGATTCTGTTGCTTGTCACAGCAAAGCCAAGAAAAAGTTACTTTTATCCAATAATCAATATGATTACTTTATTTTAGGTGATCTTGCAGTATCCCGAGTTGAAAGTTCTTAATTTGCATGGCAACACTATTGGAAAAATGACAGAGATTGATAAACTTGCATCATTACATAACCTCAAGTCTCTTACTGTGCATGGTAATCCAATGGAGGATACCAAAGGTTATAGAGATTACATCATCAGCAAAATACCACAACTGGAAAAATTGGATTTCTCCAAAATTACCAAAGCTGATCGAGAATGTGCCAAGACAATGTCCAAACTTTCCGGAAAGAACAAGAAAGCTGTAAAAGCAGGAGAAACATGAAAGTAAATGACAAATTGTGATCTGTAGTGTGTAGATTATTTTCTAACGTGTGCTGATATCATGAATTATACAAAGTAAGCTAACTTTTTCATAGTTATATTTTATGTGTATTATACACTGTTCAAGTATGAATGGTGGATGCAAAATTTAGAAAAGTTATTTTGTATCTTATTTAAGTGATTTATGAAGTTTAAGGGTTGTAGCTGTAGATATTTAATAATTATGCTCACTATATATGTTACTTTTTAAATGTACGATTGATTTACCAAAGTATCGTATGATTTTTAACCGTGGGCGTCATTCCTGATGGGGATGGGGAACAAGTATTATCAGCTGACTTCGTGGACATAGTGGATGTACAGTATTATACACGTACAGTAATGTCTGCTCCCTGGCCCTAGGGAAATAGTTGGTTTTCCAAGAGTTGCAATGTTTCCCGAAAAGAAGTCGAGGGAAACATTGAAATTCAAGTGGAAACAAAACTATTTCCCGAGGGAACAGATTAGTGGTGCATATTGTTATTTTACTTTTTTTACAATTACAACATGCAAATTAGGTGCCAAGAAATGAAAGTTTCAGCAGCTATTTAAAGGACTTAAAATTGAGTAAAGTTTTTGATATTTGGACCATTGATAAAACACAACAAATTTCTCGCCCATGAACTTAAACGGCGTGTGCTAAAACCTGGACTGGACTATGGACTGGACTGGACTATGGACTGGACTGGATTATGGACTGGATTATGGACTGGACTATGGACTGGACGATGGACTGGGCGATGGACTGGACGATGGACTGGACGCATTTGTGCTAAAACCTGGGATTTTTATTTAGCTACAGCCGTTTCAACGAATTCAATCTCCGGCTATGACGTTGTCACTATAGACACTATACTATATACTATATGACCTTACTTACTGAAGTTTTATTGACAGTTCATTAAACAGAAATTATACAAATTTACAACATTTTAATCAATGTTACAATTCTCGACGTTTTCAATAATTAGCGTGCGTAAATAACCGGACCGACATTTTGTACTTGTAGAGAATGTTCTTCTCAAGCTACGACATCCGGATCTATCTCTCACAATCCACAAAGCGTACCAAGAAGTACTAAAAAAGGTTAGTAAAATAGTTTTAAAACTTGATATTTAAAAATAATATTTTGCAATTCTAGATTCCCCTTATTACGTTTTCGTAGTGCTTTCCATTGTGGTTATAGTGTTAGTCACAGATATTCAATGGCTTATTTTTTGTCCTGACCCGTGCAAGAACTTTTAAAAAAGCTAGGGTCGGGTGAGCGATAGCCAACAGCAAAATATTCGCGAAAACATTCAATATTTTCATTCGAGGCCGCTATCCAGTTTATCAGTGATACCACTATAACCACAATGGAAAGCGCTACGAAAACGTAATAAGGGGAATCTAGAATTGCAAAATATTATTTGAGATTTCGAGCTCTTAAATATCAAGTTTTAAAACTATTTTACTAACCTTTTTCAGTACTTCTTGGTACGCTTTGTGGATTGTGAGAGATAGATCTAGTGTCGTAGCTTGAGAAGAACATTCTCTACAAGTACAAAATGTCGGTCCGGTTATTTACGCACGCTAATTATTGAAAACGTCGAGAATTGTAACATTGACTAAAATGTTGTAAATTTGTATAATTTCTATTTAATGAACTGTCAATAAAATTTCAGTAAGTAAGGTCATCTGGACTATGGTATATAGTATATAGTATATAGTATATAGTATATAGTATATAGTATATAGTATAGTGTCTATAGTGACAAAGTCATAGCCGGAGGCTAACTGATTCGTTGAAACGGCTGTAGCTAAATAAAAATCCCAGGTTTTAGCACAAATGCGTCCAGTCCATCGTCCAGTCCATAGTCCAGTCCAGTCTATAGTCCAGTCCATAATCCAGTCCATAATCCAGTCCAAAATCCAGTCCAAAATCCAGTCCATAATCCAGTCCAAAATCCTGTCCAAAATCTTCCAAAACCATACGCGGTATGAGGAGTATCGTTAAGTTGAAGTTCTGAGAATTTCAGAACTCTTTCGCCTCCAAGAGATAACATATTTATACCTATAATCAAATTTCTCATGAGAGTGAAACGCCATTTTTGTATAATCGTCCGTGTTTGTATATTTTAAACTCCAATGTAAAGTAAAAGATGTATGCTTTCAAACATCAAACCTCGCATCAGACTTTTAGTTCCACAAGCGAACTTTCAGTTATACAGTACATAGCCATACGGCATAGCCATAGGCGAAATTTTACATGTAAAATGGATAAAAATTTAGTATTTTCGACCCTCGACCTCGACTTTTGACCCTCGACCTCGACTTTTGACTCCCGACCCTCGACCATTACCCAAACTCTGTTTAGAAGGCAGAATGCAAGAACTTTCATATAAATGACAAGATATTCCCTTGTCATCATGGGAACACCCAAACATATATGGTAATATGACTCAGAATGTCATAACAGTACAATTTTGTTACTAGGTCTAGATCTAGCTAGGTTAAATTGGATAGGTCAAATAAAATATTTTGGGCTAAAAATGCACAAACAAAAACAATATAGCTCTGAAGTATCATGCAAATGACAGCAAATCTATTGTTAGTATATGACAACATAGGCATAGCTTAGTTAAGCTAGGGATTTATAGTATGAGTTTAGGTGCTAAATTTACATAGTCTAATTATCACGGTAGACTAAATTCAACAGGCTGTCGTGCATCATAAACGTGGCTAAACAATTCAATTTTTACATAGGACGAAAGAACAGTTATTCAGCTTTTCAATGATACTCTTTTTGAATCGTAACGATGAGAAACGGCCATATATACTCGTCAAATAAAAATTGCCGGTCGAAATTAAGTCACATTCTTCCACCGTTGGGAATTGCATGGAAAACGAAACATTAAAGGAATACCGAATGGTTTTCCGTGCAGGATTGCGTGATCCATGCCCGAGGGATGTACACGTCGCGAGACTTTCGGAAAGCGTGAATACTCGAGCCGCAGGCGAGTGTATTTTTACGCTTTCCAAAAGTCAAGCAACATCCCAAGTGCATGGATCACGCTATCCTGCTTGGAAAACCATTTGGTAATAGTTTTATTATAAAATAACTACAGTGAAACAATGACATTTTGAGAATCCCGCGAAAATCCCATTTTAATTCCTCGTGCAGGATAGCCCGATCCGGCGATCCTGCACGGCTATTGACCGATCAATTTGCATGTTTCACTGTAGTTATTATACAGGGTGTCCCCAAAAAAGTGAACACGATAGAAATTATACAGGATTTCATGCGCCTGGTAATTAAAGATTCAATTTAATTGTGTTTACGCACTCTTCTGTTCAGCATAGTGCTCGGGCATTCAAATTATAGCAATAGGATAATTATAGCAGTAGTGTCACTTTTTGGGGGACACCCTATATAAAGACGTCAATTCTCAAGAGGGAATTAAAATTGAATGTTAAATATATTATTAAATTATCTAAAATGAGCTCAACTCGTCAATCTAAAATTATTCGTCTTAATGAAACATGGTTAATTAACCACTGAACAGAGAACATTCGTAATCAAAACATTTGCATAATTAATGTTGGAGGGATGGAGAAAATCCCAATGGGATTTTGATCGGAAATTTTGCATTTAGACAATTCTATGAGACGCCATTTCTCGCATTCTTAGTCAAAATTGCATTACTAAGATACAGAATATATTTGAGAATATTCACGGCTATGCATGGTAATGATATACTGTACATGCCAATTTAACAGTTGTAAATCTAAACTAAATCCATTCTTCTTGGAATCATATACAAATGCTTTAACGATTTTTTAACTGATAGGATGCGCAAGAACTTTATATTATATAACCTTTCATATATTCATTATTTTGTTAATTTTATATTTTTATCAGCTGGGCTCCACTGAAAATCACTTTTGTGAGTGGACCCCCTGACTAAATATTGTAATTATTGATTATTATTATTATTTTTACACATCAAGCTCCTCCAGTAAAATCGTCGTTGTCTTAGGTCGAGACTTAGTCAGTTTTAGCTTCGAGAATGTAACGTGTATCCCCCTCCCCCCAATTTCTCTATAGATTTAGACTTTTTGAGAGAATGGTTTTTGTGGGGGGGGGGGGGCGGTCGCCGTCCTTGGCTACGGCTATGGCCCATCTGGATTTCCACGTTTCTGATTGGTCCATAATTCCTCCCATGGGCCTTTTCGGACCGTGTCCAGTATCTCTCCTCTGCTTGATCTCCAAAGCACTTCAAGTATAGTCACAGAATAGATAATAGGACCAGAAGTCTTACTCAAGCGGAAACATGTCCCATCTTTTATACTGCGCATGCGCGAGCTAAACAAGTGTAATGCAGTGTTGACAATAGAAAATTATATTGGCAAGTTGTCATTTCTACAGTAAAAACAGCTTTTTTTCAAGTAGTACGAAATGTGACTTCGATTTATCTGTGGAACTATTTGAACAGAAGGTAAGACATTAATTTTGTTGTATTTAGAAAGCAATTTCGTGCATATTTTCATATTAATCACGTATTGTTCGAGCGCTATCCAAGTTGCTCGCCATATATTTTTGCTGTCTCTGCACTGCAAACAGTCCTCTGTCCTGAATATCAGCTTTCTCCCTATATTTTCAGCCTGTATGTTAGAGAACTTTTTCGTCTGGCAACTACAATTCATTCATGATTAATTTTATGTTTGTTTTTGTAGGATAACAAGGCCGAAATATTTTACTTTTAATACTTCGGACCAACTGAACAGCTGGATGGGTAATATTTTAGAACCTGATATGACGTTGACTGCAAGTACAATTTGTCATTGAATTTAAAGACTGGGGAAAAGATTGTACAGCGTGGTGATATAACAATTATAAATGAAACAGTGATTTGAACTGTAGTGTGCATGTATTCATTGTTTGAACATGAAAAATAATTGTTGTCAGACATGTATAAATATCTTAAAAAAAAAGTATGAAACATTTCTCTAATAGCATGATCCCATGGCTTAACTGCACGTTGTGTTTGCCTGTTTGGAGTTATGTATGCCAGTACACATTTTGAATTAGTAAGTAGGTTGACGTGGCCTTTAATACTTCAGGTAGTTGAATCCATATAAATCTTGGAACAATGAGCTAGTCTATCCCCATCTTGTTTGTGATAGACCTTGGGAAATGGATTGCTGAGGGAGAGTGCCACACCACCCATTGGCTACTTACTACCCACATAAGTGCTACTCACACTTTGAGTGGGCAAGGACCTGTATCAAACCTGCAACCTTTCGATTACAAGGCTAATTCTCTACCAACTTTTATTTGACTGCTTTTAGGTCTCACTCCCATTGTGTAAATAACCAGGTTAATCTATTATCCAGTGCAGTATAAAGCTTTTCTGGATTTGGGAAGTGGGTAGGACTGTCAAAGTCATTAACAGGGGGGTTATAATTAGACTCACTTGTTATAATGATATAAAATTAGAAATAATTTTTATTATAATATTAGAAAATTAAAAAATTAGAGCCACTTATTATAATAATATAGGATAATAATAGAAATGCTTCTTATTAATATATTGTCTACACTTTGAAACAAAATACTTATGACCATTCTAACAGTGCTCATTCTCAATGTAAATTATTTGGGGGAGGGCGGGTGGTTACTATGGATAAAGGTTAAGAAAACTTAATAGAAATAATAAACACTGTAATGATAAATAACTTTCTGAAGTATGATTTTGCCCCACATTTTATGACTTCGTACACTATTACATTCAGGGGCGTAGGAACTTGGGTACGTGCCCCCCCCCCCCAATTTTTTCAAAGGACTAAAAGTGCCCTTTTTTGTGATGAAAAGTGCCCTTTTTGTACAAGCTAATGTGGCTGTAAATACTAAATTAACATCAAAGGTGCCCTTTTTGTTTGGAAATTTCAAAGTTTTTTTTAAAAAATTTGGACAAAAACGTGCAATTTCGGTATGGTACGACGAGAAATCCCCCACCTGTCGCGAACATTTCCGAGAAAAAATTTTTTGGTGCCCTTTTCAATACCCTTAAGTGCCCCTAGAAGCCGGTGCCCCCCCCCCCCCCATGCTTCCTACGCCTCTGATTACATTTTCCAGCTCAGCATATGTTATTGTGCAAATAACATACCGTGCAAATAACATAATGCTGTAAAAATCTAAGATATGTAGGCAAATTCATCAGAAAAGTGTTAAATTCAGCTTTTTTCATTGCAATCGTCCATATTAACCTGTTTATTTATAACCTGTAAATTTGACAT